TGGATGGGACCTGAGGCCCACCACCATGGGGTCTGTGCCTGGCATGCCCCAGCCACCAGTTAGGGGGCCAAGTACAGCTCCCACACCAGGCTGAGATCCCACAGGGCAAATGCTGCTTCCTGGCAGTATACTGGCCAGGGCAGGTGCTGAAACTCACATGGATTACCATTAGGGTATCTGAGCTCCTGGCCTTGATCAGGTACTTCCTGGACTCCAGCCCAAGGAGCTACACCCCCATCCTGACTACCCCCTGCTATTACATCATCTCAAAGCAGGAGTGGGGTTGGGGCATAACCCTCCCCGCCGCCCCATCAGAAAAAATTCCCAGTGCCCCATGCCATTGGGGGGAGCACATAGGAGGGGAAATCAAGGGCGCACCTTTCCCAAGGCCCCCCCCATCCTACACAAAATGGGAATGTCCACCAGCTCAAATGAGCTGCTTCCCAGCATACTTGCTCTATCCCTCATTCCAAGGCTGCACAAGGACTCTGCCTCCTCCCTATGACAGAGATGGGGCATGGCAAGCAACCCATATAGGGAAGCATAAAGCAATTCCAAGTCACTTTTAAGCAGAGTGCCTTAATCTGATTAGATGAGGGTGACTTTTTCCCCAGATCAGCCATTTTTTAAGCAGTTTGCAGCCATGCACTTATTTGGTCATGGCTTTAGGGCACTTTCAGGGGCCAGATCAGGCAAAAATTGTCACTTCTGTTTGCACCTTATGCAGCAAGTCCTGGCATGAACACTTACGGCCAGCTGACAGTTCATAGCAACAGGCACCACCCCCAGTGGAAGCAACAGGAGTTTAGGCATGGACAGAGACAGCACCTCTATACTATGGCACAGGGTTCATCACCTGCAGCCAACGGCAGCAGGCACCCAGCAGCTCCAACCCAGCTAGAGGGAGCAGCACCACACTGCCCTAACCCCCTTTCAGCACTCTGGTGCCATCTCATCTCCAGCATGAAGAGCAGCAACATGCCCCACCTGATCCTGTACAGAGGCAACAGAAAGCTAGCAACTCAGAGAATAGACACAGGGCTTGTAAATAGAACCAACTTTATTGAAGTGACTGCAGCATCTCTAACGGTTGGACTTGGCCACACGTTCCAATTCATCCTTCTTCTTGATGGCATACGAGTTAGAGGAGCCCTGGGAGGCAGATAGAGAGAGTGAAACCCTGACCTGTCCAGCCCCACCAAGCTGCTGCCACCAAAAGTATTCTGCACACCAGCCCCATGGCCTCCCACTAGGCAAAACACTGCTCCATGCAGGTCTTGCAAATGGACCCCAGAGCCTTATATGGGCTCTTGACCAAAGCACCAGTTAGCTCAAGGGTGGGCAATTATTTCAGGCAGAGGGCTGCTTACTGACTTTTGGCAAGCTATCAAGGGCCACATGACAGGCAGCCAGGGGTAGATGAATATTAATTTTCTAAATTTTTTAAAGGGCCCCATGGGCCGGATAGAATAGCCTGGCAGGCTGCATCCGGCCCATGGGCCGCATTTTCCCACCCCTGAGTTAACTGAACTGACAGCTCTGGGGGCCAGCCCAAGACAGAGAGGGAGCTGGCAGCTGCAATGAGCTGGGCATTGGTCATACCAGAGCTACCACTACCCAATCCTGCAAGATAACTCAGGGGGCCAGCATCCCTCCTGTAGACCTCCGCTGTACGCAACAGGGATTAAGCTCCAGGATAAGGCCATAGTAGAAACAAATTAAATGCGAGCTCACACCTTGTGCACATGCACCCACCCTGTTACCCCAGTGCAATTAGTGTTACAGCCCCATTCCTCAGCCCAGCATGGAGCAAAGCAGCCTGACCTGCCTGCCTACCTGTCACTGGAGACAGGCAATTAACTGTCCCAGCACAGAGCACCTACCCAAGCCAGCTGTACTTGCTGGAATTGTACCATAGCCCAGTACTGGCCCAGATCTTATGGAGAGCCAACATCCAGAATGGTAGGCATGATCAGGGGATACTGACAGCTGTGCCTGGGCCCCAAAGCAACACTAGCCTCTACATCTGGCTCAGGTACTCCAAGTGCAAGATGAGGGATAGTAACTGCATGAGGGATAGGGCCAATGCTGGGACCGCAGAGAGCAGGGTGTGCTCAGGCAGACAGCGCAGGACATGTCACCACCATTGCCCAGGCAGCCAGTGACATTTTGGACAGGGAGGCAAACAGAGACCCCAACCCCAGCTGGGCTACAAGGGCTGGGAGCAGGGTGAGGAGAGGGGTCTTGTGTGGACTTATCAGTCAGTCAATCTCAAAGCCACATCAGGGGCAAGTAAAGCAAAGCTTTTACCAGAGGCCAGCAGTTTCTAACTTTAGTCACAATCCCATGTGGGATAACAGGCCTCATGGTACCCTACTCTGCTCCCAGTAAAAAGGCACCCTTGAGCGCTTCATAGTTCCCAGCCCTCTGCCTCCACTTGCTCCATGGAAATGGGGCAACAGAGCCCAGTTTCATTTAAAGGGAAGCTGTCTTAGTTTAAGTTGCTGGACAGGAGTGGGGTGACTGAAGCCTGGTGAAGTCCCACCTGCTTACAAACAACAGTTACTGTGTGGATTGGGTCACCCCAACCTAACCCACCACAACAGAAAGCTGGGGAAGCAGCTGCATTAAGCAGCAGAGCTGACTGTCACAGCCAGTTTCCCTCACGCAGGTCAGGCAACCCCAGCACTGAGCAGAGAAGAACTCAGCTCTCAGTACTGCTCCTGCAGCCTGGCCCAAAGGGGGGCTCCTACCTTGGCAGCATTGATGAGCTCATCAGCCAGGCACTCAGCAATGGTCTTGATGTTGCGGAAGGCGGCTTCACGAGCCCCAGTGCACAGCAGCCAGATAGCCTGGGGAGAGGCAGAAACAGGAATCAGCTCCAGAAGCAGCAGGGGTGGGATACCCACCACACCCCCTAGGAAGTTCAATGCCCAGTCCAGCCCCACTGCGTGCATGTACTGGGAGGCAGTGCAACATACCTGGTTGACCCGGCGCAGGGGGGACACATCCACAGCTTGTCTCCTGACAGTACCAGCACGGCCAATACGGGTCGAATCCTCCCTGGGGCCACTATTGATGATGGCGTTCACCAAGACCTGCAGAGGGTTCTGCCAAAAAGCGTACAGGATGGGTCAGAAGGAAAGAGCCTCTGGGCCACCCTGGAAAAGAGGTCCTATAACAAGCCAATGGCCTGACCACAAAAACTCACCATTTCCAGGGCCCAGCCATGCTACCCATATACTTTCTCCATGCAGCCTACTGCCATAACCGCTTCCAAAAGAGCATCCCCCGTGCCATGGCGCCCAGCCCTCCACAGCCCCAAGGGACGCCCCTGTACCCCAGGGCCCACAGGCTGTCCTCCCTCCCATCTCCTCTCTCCAGGGCCGCCCTCACCTCGCCAGTGAGCAGGTGGATGATCTCGAAGGCGTGCTTGACGATGCGCACAGTCATCAGCTTCTTGCCATTGTTGCGCCCGTGCATCATCATGGAGTTGGTGAGCCGCTCCACGATGGGGCACTGGGCCTTGCGGAAACGCTTGGCCGCGTACCGCCCAGCGCTGTGGGGCAGGTACTTGGCATACTTCTCTTTCACTGCAATGTAGTCCTACAGTGGGACACGCAGTGGCGTGAGGAGGGCAGGGACCAGGGCTGCCCTCCCACGCCACCTTAAGAGGGGGCAGGGCAGCAGCTCGCACGGATTTCAGCAGCCTCCCAGGCTGGAGCTGCCGCCCCTCATAAACGTGCTGGGGCTGCGCCCACCGAGTAAGGGGTTGGCGGTCACCCCTCAGACCCGGCAGCACCTGCTCCAGCCCCTGTGGCGTCCCCTGCTCCAGCACTACAGGAGGGAGAAGGGTGCAGTGTGCCCTTCCAGCAGAGACCCCCACTCCTTCCTCCGGGGCTAGCTGGGGAGGGCCTGGCCCCGCAGAATGCAGCAGCCTCCCAGGTCTGGGCCGCAGCCGCACGAGCGCAGCGAGAGCCGCAAGGAGCCCTACCCTGCCCTGGGCATGCCCGCGGCCCGGCCTCCTCTCGCGCGGCCCTGGGGCGACGGGCAGGGCCCCCAACCCGCGCGGCCGGGCCCGGGCTGCCGTGCTAGCGCTCGGGAGGAGGAGGTGAACCGGGCCGGGGCAGGCCGCACCTGCAGGGAGATGTCGCTGATCTGCACGTCGTCCGTGCTCCACTTGCCGAACAGCTTGATATCGGGGGTCTCGGCCACGGCGGGGGCACTCTCCCAGTCCGTCATGCTGCGGGGACAGGTCAGGTCAGGTCAGGACAGGTCAGGTCAGGTCAGGCCCGCGGCTCCCGCTCCCAGGCCCGCTCCCAGTCCCAGTCCCCCACCCCGCGCTCACATGGCGGCTCCCTTGGCTCCGGCAGCGGAAAAGGCCGCGCGCGGGGTCGCCCCGGCTCTTATCCAGGGGCGCCGCTTCCGGGGCCGGGTTGCGCAGGCGCGGTGTGGGGTTCGGGACCGGGACGGGGACCGGTGCGGGGTGCAGGACTGGGGGCTTTGTCCAAACAGAACTCGGGGCACGGCACGGCACGGCACGGCACGGCACGGCGGGCAGAAGCGATTCACGACCGGGTTTCGTCGATTTCCTTCCGACCTTTATCGGGGCTGAGGCCGCCTGCGCCTGGGGTGCCGGCTCGGGGGCGCGAGGGCACCGGGCTGTGCTGGGGACGGGGGTTTCATAGTTGGTCGGGTCAGAAGGGACCTGCGCAGATCATCAAGTCCGACCCCCTGCCGTGGCAGGAAGGA